CATGTTAGCAAAATCTCCAAGCAGTAACCTATTACCTTGTATACAAGTGGCACATCCTTTATTAATTTAGTAGTTAATTTCTGCATAAGAGCATTGTGTTGTATTCACTTTTATGGTGCTTTTTGGAGCCTAACAGACCGTAATCACTATGAAGTTTCTTCAAAACGTTCTCCTGTGGTGTTTCACGTTTAGAAAACGACACGAGTATGAGTAAATGATGACTGAACAGGGGAGAAAATCAAGGGATGAGATTGAGGTGCCAAAAGGAAGGAGTTTGTTTTCCCACCTGACTGGTGGCTGGTGAATTATCATCCACTTTTCTTTTTCCCTCGACTGGGCAAAAAGTCTCCTAAATTCCCACATGATCAGCCAACAGTGTCTGAGCGAAATGACTAAATCTGTTGCCCTCTGAACCGTGAGACTTCCCTCCAGCAGGACCAGCTCTCTAAATAAGATGCCAAAAGGAGATCCAAAACATTTTTAGAGCAGTCCAGGAAGTTTGCACAGAGTTCTGCCATAACGTAAATGTAAGCAACACACTTTTAAACAAGTTTAAATAAGAAAAATTAAGAGCATGGTTTCAGAAACTGGGGGTTGAGAGCTAATGGAAGGCTAATAATTAGATTAATCATTAAAATGTAGAATTAAAATAAATACATCATAAAATAAAATCACTTAGGCTACTTAAAAAAAAATATACCGACATCCGTGAACAGTGATTGGGAATGTGTTGTTCAATTATACAATTATTAACACAAATCTTAAGGAACCTTCAAGTATTTTAGCTCACACCATGTAGATGATGCGATAAGAATACAGCAACAATCAATTACAAATCACAGCCAATCAGGAGAGCGTGTGGGCGGAGTCTCACTGTGAGTACACTGCACCCACAACCAAATCAATCACAAATCACAGCCAATCAGGAGAGCGTGTGGGCGGAGTTAATATCTGGAAGCACACTGCTCTGTGCTCTCACAATCAAATGGATAAGTAGGCCTGCCTACATAATCAAATTTGAAAAAATATTACACAATTTTAACATTAAAAATACATAGTGAGTGACTGAAACAATCTCTGTCGTAGAATACGCTTGTTTGTTCAACTTGAGTTGACCGTTTGAGCGCTGTTGTTTCCTTTCATTCATTTTCAAGATCTGAGGTGAAATATCCATTGTTGCTTTTAGTATGACTATTAAAGTCATGCAAAATTCAGATGCTTTTAAGATGAAATAAAGCAAAAATTCAATAGTCAACTAAACTGATTAACATGGAAAAGATATCTTTTAGTCAAAGGGGTTCAGCTGAACAAATACTGTAGTTTGGAAATACTTGTAAAAAGTTTCTTAACTGCGCAACTTCATTTTATAGAGTCGCAGGGTTTACCTCAACAAACATCAATCAGTTCACGACCCGGTTTTCTGTTTAAAAGTATGAAAGTCTTGGAAATGTGAAATGGGAAAGCGAGACCCATGCTGAGTGTTCGCTTCGAGCCAGAAGACGCAACTGCGGTAAGGAATATCTTCCCATTGATCTCTGAGGGGAAAATGTCACGGTCTAGGGCAGGACACTCTGAGTTTTCTACAGAAGCACTGAAAGATAATATCTTGGCTCAGAGCTTGAGATTTACAATTGCTTGACTCTGAGATTTTAAATCACTCAAGTTCATTTAAGAAAATAAAAGCGCATCTCAAAGTTAAACACTTCAGGGTTTGCTTTGGATTGTTTCGTAAGCTAACACCCCAACACAAACACCAAAAATGTATGAACAATGATGTTGTAATAACAGCAAAGAAGACATCTTGACCTTGGCCAACAGCATGACTGGATTATGTAAAGATAAGGTGATGAAGAAAGAGTTGCCCTCAGGCCAGAAAGAGTTGACTGAGCCATCCTGATCAAACATGGCAGGACAATCTGGTCTCAAGATGATGTCCAAATGATGCTTTAACTTAAAAAAGAAAGTAACCTGGTTGCCATAAATTTTTAAGTTGATTGAACTGGAAAAAGTGAGTTTATACAATGAAGGGGATTAATTTAACCTTCAGAAACTCAAAATAACAAGTTATCTCAACTAAATAAATTATTATAAAGTTGATTTGACAAAAGAAAATATGTTGTGATAACAAATCTTGAAAAAAATTTTTTTACAGTGAATGGGCTTGACCAATGTAATATGTTTCTGTTCATGTTTAGTTTGGTTCACCTGGTTCTTATTGGATCTGTGCATTCACTCTTAAAGTGACATCAGCCTATTCCTGTGTTTTTAATGCAAATCAAACAAACGACAAAGAAAAAATGGCACTTTACAAAACGGGAACACTAATAAGCATTAACTAATGCACAGATAAAACTGATTTAATGTGTAACTAATTATTATCTAAGCTATTTGTTGATGATTACCACATTAGGAACTAATTAAGAGTCTGTAAGGTTAATGTATTAGTTTAGTTCATACGTGAATTGTTATTAATTAAATATGTAATTAATTCCATAATAACTCATTTTTTAACTAATAGTGTGTATTAATATGTTAATTACCAGAATGAGCCAAAGCCTTGTATTTCAACTTCAAGATAATATGACAGGTACACTAATGAGCATTAATACATGATTAACTACTTCATTGTTAGTGCAAATTCATGTGCAAATTACTACAATTACTAAATAACTAGTTAATAATGATGTGTGTTAATAAAATGACACATTGAATTAATAGCAATTCAAGTATTACTTTATCTATTAATCATATAGACTCTTTATTAGTCGCTGATGCAGTGATCATTAATTAATGGTTTATTTCTTCATTAGTTATACATTAACTCATAATTATCTGTGCATAAGCCAAGCATGAATTAATGCATATTAGTGCACCCGTATTGTAAAGTGTTACCAAAAAAATCACTCACTGCTCTTGACTAAATAACTTTTGTAAATTTAATAAGGATACATTAATAAGGATGGTGGCAGAATACTTGGTAGATTTGTAGGGTTATGGACCTGAAGAACGATCATGGGTTCCCAGACACTACATCCTTGTTCCCACTCTACTAGAAGCTTTCCCATAGACATAATAAATACAAATATGTCACTATTTAACTTATTTTTCATTGTGTATATTCTGTAATTGAAATATCTTGTTCTAGGTATTATTAATAAACTATACTATTATCAATATTTTTATATAATTATACCACTCTTTACCATTTTATTTGCTATTTGTATACTATTTGTTTATTTTATTGACTAAACTATTTACTATTACTTCTCACTTTATGTTATAATTACTATTTGCATTGCACCGTAGGCCCAGTTGTACCATAACATATGTATTATCATAAAGCAGCAATGTTCCAAAGCGGACAATAGGGCGTCTATATAACTTTCCCCAGGGACAAGGAGCTTTGGGGTGGTACTCGGTGTGTTTACATCGCAGGAACCAGGGTCTAAATGAAGTTCCGGGTAAAAATGAAGGGAAATGAGGAATAAACTTGACCTTTTTTCTTTTTTTAATACATATATTGGCGCTTTTCCACTGCATAGTACGGTACGGTTCGGTTCGATACGGCTCACGAAACCTACCTGAAAAAACAGTAAGTTCAAACATGTAAACATGCACACACTCTGGTAATGTCCTACATACTGATTTTTTTTTTGTTGAATTATTTATTAAAACGGGACACATCTTTATATGCTTACAGTTTTTTTTATTCGCTTTGGTACTATTTTCACAAGTAAGGTGTACATTTTCAAAACTCTTAGTACAAAAATCCAAACTGATCACACTTGTAACGCAGCTAGTCATTCTTTCAAAACCTGATGTAATGCTTTCAGTCAGTTGCACATGTTTTCAGTCCACATAATAATTATTTCAAACACAAGATTATTGTAATATGTAATGAGAACATTTGGTTTAATCACTGAAACACAACAATATGATCTTCTTTCAGTTTAGTACTTTTAACAATCAGTTCATCCAACAGCAAACAATGCAAGATACATGTTTCAAATCGGCCTTAGAAGTGCTGAAATGAATATGCTACAGTACTATAAAAGACAGATTACACAGTTTTACTGTAACATTAGGCAATACACTTGCAGTACCCAACATTTACATAATCTATTATTTCCAAATATCCATCATATATGTAGGCCTAATCAAATCAAGGATCAATGAAGACATCCTCTACAATCATTTAGGCAAATTATAGTTTTTATTTTTCAGATATAATTGTAACATAGGTATACTTTCTATAATGAAATGTAACTAAAGAAGAACAAAACATAACATTTAGTGCACACATTACAGTACATAGTGGCCAATTGTGGTCAGACTGGTCACCACTATGTGAAAAAAAATAGCTATAACGAGTATTCATCATGTGTGGTTACTGGTTACATGTAATTTAAATATTCATACAAACACACATTTTATTTCTGTAGTTCTCAAAATCCATATACTGTATATTGCTGAAATGAAAATCTATATGTTTACCAAATGATTAATTGATTAACCATTAAGATCTGTTGGATTAAATAATAGACAAAAGTATTAAACTGAACAAAAAGAGATGCAAATCAAAAGTTTGATAGTAAGAGCTTTATGAAAGGCAGTTACTGTGAATGAAACAATAATGTAGATGAAACACTTATTTTGTGTTGTGAAAAGGATACTTTGTGATTGTGTGAATTGTACTAACACAGTTGAAAACATGATGAAATGTTTGAAAAAAGTGCACTTTTGATGATCTGTTGTGATATTAGCACTAAGAGTTTTGAAAATGTACACCTTACTTGTGAAAATAGTACCAAAGCGAATAAAAAAAACTGTAATGTCGCTATAAAGTTCATATACGTATATGTACAATTGATAGTTCAATAGAAAAAGAACTGGAGCTGACGTACTCTCTAGTTACCTCAGGATGGGTATCCTGAGAAAGCAGAAGTTCTGACTGCGCTGTGATAGTTTCGAAGTTGACAGTTTCCTGTTGCTTTTGTTTTCAGGAAGTAAGATGTGTGATATCAAAAGTGAAAGCAAAGAAACAGGATTCAACTTTACCGTTAGTGCTGTTAAATGAAACGCTCGTAGCTACGTACTTTAAGTCAATGTGCCTCATAGTTTTGCTTAAATCGTAAGATCACATTTTAAATTAACAGATTAACGGTGGCTTTACTCTCCAGGTTGAAAATGAAACTAAACAGGACAGAACCAAAATGGCTCTTCACACTGATTCTTGCATTTCACATCACATCTGTACATGTTGAAGGTAATGTATAATGCAAATGTGGAGCTATACTGTTCTAAAGCGTGCATTACTCTCTTTTTACTTAAAACAGCAGTATAATTAGTCTTGTATATAATGGTTTTAAAAATGATAATCATACAGTGTTGGTTGTAGTTTACTTTCGATACCTAAAAATAAATCTGACCACTGTAGTGGACACGCTGCATTTAGGGTTGTAATGTAATGTACAATAAGTCAATGTAAATTTGTAGCTAAAATTAATTATTAATTTGTAACTAAAAATTGTCTTTAAAAAAATGAACATTTGTAACAGTGTTAAACCAAACATGTTTTACATGAACATATGCAGGGCTTGACATTAACTTTTTTGCTCACTAGCCAATCCAAAATGACTAGCCACGCAACACTTTTACTAGCCACATTTTTTGTTGTTGGAAAATTACGTTTATATGATTAAAGTTGACAAAGGGGCTTTAAACGTGCTAAAATTTACGAACTCTGTTGTAAAGCTCCTTTTTTGAAAACATGTTGTCTATTAAGATAGACATGCAGTAAAATAGCTTCTCACATAAAATAAAATTGCTGCATCATTTTTTTGTTTTGTTTTTTAATAGCAGTAAATACTGTAATACCAACCCGATCTCACGGGAATTCGTACGAATTTTACGAGGTGGCTAATTCGTAACAATTCATACGACCTCAGTCGTACAAATTAGTACGATTTTTGCTAAATCGTACATATTTTACGAATTGGCCAATTCGTATGAATTCGTACGAATGACCTACCCCTGACCCCGCCCCTAAACATAACCGTCACGTGGGTTTAGACAAATCGTATGAATTCGCACGAGTGAGGTCGTACGAATTAGTACGAATTAGCCACTTTTTAATCACTCGTACGAATTCGTACGAATTGGTCGTGAGATAGGGTAGGTAATACAGAGTAGAATAAGTATCAGAAACAATGATATTATCAAATAATATTTTCCGATATTTAACTATCTCTTCAGCTTCTCATGATGATGATGCTGATGTGAGGATCCTGATAGTGGGAATGCGAGGCGACTCCAGGTTCAGCGCTGCAGATATTCTGTCAGGAAGGAAAGCCGGTGGACAGGAGGACAGAGAGATTGTAAAGACTCCAGTAATGACAGACGAGGGTCGTAGAATGATGCTGGTCACTGGACCAAACCTCTGTGAGGACGACACAGCAACACAGAGCTTCACAACAGCGCTGTTTCTCTCGTCTCCTGGACCTCACGCCGTTTTAATCCTCCTGGAAGATCAAGAATCAGAAGAGTGTGATGTTGTGAAACGAGTCCAGGAGCGGCTGGGAGCAGACGTTCTGCAGTACTGCATTGTTCTTCTGCACCAAAATCACCAGGAACGTTTGACAGGAGCGTCCAGAGAAATGATCAACGCGTGTGGAGGCAGATTTCACATGATCAGAGACTCTGATCCCAAACCTGCTCAAACAGCAGCTCTCGTAGCGGAAATACACAAGCTAGTTTGGCTCAATGCTCACAGGTTTTACTCAGGATTGAATAAGGAAAAACAGTTACATACAGAAAAAGAAAATCAGCTCTTGTCAGTAATATATGACACTTTAGGAGGAGTAGCAGGAATCATAGGATGGATTTCTCTGGTTTCACTTACAGCTCTTGTTGTTTGCAATAGAGGAAATGACGAAATGTTGCATTTTGGGGCAAAATTTGCAGTGATTGTGTTGTTTATGGTCTATCTAAGACATGTTCTGAGTCCAGATGTTGCTATACCGCTAAATTTGGCCTTGATAACGTCACTTGCAACAATATTTACAAGAAACTGCAGAGTAATTGAAGATTTTAAGTTTAGCAATAGTAGTAGCGGTCCACACTCCAGCAAAACCAGTAGGGATTTGAAAGCAAATAAAGTAGATCTATTAAAGGTTTTCATAGTAAGTATGTGGTCTTTCATTGTATTTATGTCCATACCACTTATTCTGGGTTCATCTCTGGTCTTTGGGACAATCATTAGCGTCAGGTCATGGTCAGATGTGCTCATCGCGTGTCACGCGGCTCCTGGAGTCACAGTCGGTGCTTATGCATTTATATTTCACAATGAAAAGAAGGGTTGTGAATCTCCAGTCTTTGTGCCCGGGTCATTTCTGTGTTGTACCATTGGGGCGACACTTTCAATGGGGTTTGTGACTGTGTTTGCTCTACTTGGTGTGAAGATGACAATGATGCTGCTAATATTAGGGCTTACACTTGCATATTGGCATTTAAAGAGTGAAACTCTACAGGAATTGATTGGTTTTACTATTCTTACACTGTTTTTACCATGTGGTTGTGTGCTCATTCTTGGTTCAGTCTTTCTTATTTTAGGGCTGATGATGAGTTTTCTCAAAGTACTTATTGAAAGCTTAGTCAGTTCTTATTTGTTTTATGTAGGATTATTCTTAGGAGCATTAATAATTTGGAGAAAAAACAGTGACAACACCACCACCAAATGACACCATATGTGTGTGTTTATATACACACACATATTTTACATTTGTAAATATAACAGGAATGTTGTGATGTGTTATAATTTTATGGCGTCAGCAAAGACATTAAGCAAACAAGTTCTTTTAAAAAAGACTGGCAATTCTGTGATTTGGTAATAATTAATCAACTGATTATTCTGCTTGCGTGGTAGTGTCCATGGTAATGTCATTGCATTATACATGTTTTCATACTGAAACTGTTTTGTTTGAGTTTTTTTCACCAGCAAATGTTCAAAAATAAAAAAGACCTTCATCACTGCTTGGATTGTAATGGACTGCATTCGGTAAATATTCTATTTGTGTCCTTCCCTACAGTTGAGAACCTATTCCAAACGATTCGGTTCATGACCCGAATCATTAAGACTGAATCACCAACCAAAAAGATGCCTACTTTTACTGCTCAAAAGAACCGACTAAATAGAGCCATTAATTAGCGATTCTTTATTTCTACTAGTTCTGATTATAAACATGCATCACACTATACACGACAACACTGGCAAAATATTGTACGTGTCAAACAAATGTATTTCAGTAATATTTTCGCAGGTTACCGCAGTATTGTTCTGACGCGCGGTCAAAAGTCCAGAGTTCAATTGGACGCCATGATTGACAGCGACTCTCAAGTCCCGCCCCTTGAGCTTAAATAACAAATATGATTGGTTAGGAAATATGCCTCGCGGCTGAAATGAATGTTCTGATTGGTTTTTGAGTATTTAAAACGTGTCTTTCGGTTTTGATATGTGATATAAACTTTTGATATAAACCGTCTATGATATAAACTCATCTCTCTTTCGCGCTCTTCGTCCTTGGTTACATGATATAATTACTCATTATGAGTGGACGTTATTCAATGCTAAATATAACTGGGGAATCACTCGAGGATCAAAAGTGAAACCAAACAAACAGGATTCAACTTCACTGTCAGTGCTGTTAATGCAACGATCGTACTGTAAGTAAATATGCTTCTTAATTTTGTTTAGGATATATAAGATCACATTTTAAATTCACAGATTAACGGTGGCTTTACTCTCCAGGTTGAAAAATGAAACTAAACTGGACAGAACCAAAATGGCTCTTCACACTGATTCTTGCATTTCACATCACATCTGTACATGTTGAAGGTAATCTACAATCTGACAATGTTATGTAAATGTATACATTCTCAATTTTTATTTTCCTGTGGGAAAAATCTAGTGCATAATTTCTTAAATAATAGCATTTGTTATAGTTTACTTTTGATAACTAAAAATAAATTTGACCTCTTTTGTGGACATGTATTCAGGGTGGTAATGTATAGGCTTAATGTAAGTCAATGGAATTTTCTAGGTAACCAAATATGTCCTTTTGACCACAAATACATGCATTTGAGCAATTATATTAGAGACCAACCACTGTAAAGATAGATCACTTAATTTATATGATATTTTCCGATATTTTCATCTTTAACTTTCTCTTCAGTATCTAATGATGATGCTGATGTGAGGATCCTGATAGTGGGAATGCGAGGCGACTCCAGGTTCAGCGCTGCAGATATTCTGTCAGGATGGAAAGCCGGTGGACAGGAGGACAGAGAGATTGTAAAGACTCCAGTAATGACAGACGAGGGTCGTAGAATGATGCAGGTCACTGGACCAAACCTCTGTGAGGACGACACAGCGACACAGAGCTTCACAACAGCGCTGTTTCTCTCGTCTCCTGGACCTCACGCCGTTTTAATCCTCCTGGAAGATCAAGAATCAGAAGAGTGTGATGTTGTGAAACGAGTCCAGGAGCGACTGGGAGCAGACGTTCTGCAGTACTGCATTGTTCTTCTGCACCAAAATCACCAGGAACGTTTGACAGGAGCGTCCAGAGAAATGATCAACGCGTGTGGAGGCAGATTTCACATGATCAGAGACTCTGATCCCAAACCTGCTCAAACAGCAGCTCTCGTAGCGGAAATACACAAGCTAGTTTGGCTCAATGCAGGAAGTTTTTTCTCAGCACTGAATGAGACACAACAAAGGTTAGAAACCGAAAAGCTGGAGCTTTTGAAAAGACTAAAAGAAATAGGCGGCAAACTTGAAGAAAATCAGGTTGTCTCTGCAGTGCCTGACGCTTTAGGAGTAGTGGGATGTAGTCTGATCATTTCACTGATTGTAGTTGTTCTGGCTACTGACAAGAATGTCAAAATGTTAATTTTTCAGGCTACTGTAGCTGGACTTGTGACATTTATGGCATCTATCAGAAATGCTTTGGGCCCACATGTTGCTTTTGCACTAAATTTGGCTCTGTGCTCCACAGTTGCGGCTATCTTTATTAGATATTTACCAATGCGCAAGTTAGATAACATTAAGGAAAAATACAGTGAGTTTTCATATACAGTGAGTTTAGGAGTGACGCTTGGATCAGTCGCTAGCGTACGGTCTTTTTCTGATGTTTTCATAGCGTGCTTTGCTTCTATTGGAGTCGCATTCGGCACTTTTGCATTTTTAAAGTTATCGTTTGAGCTAAAAACAATGAACGTCCGAGAATTATTCCTGTTGTTCTTGTTTTGCGCAGTTGGTGCAGAACTCACGATGTTGTGTGTGATTGTGATCGCCGCTGTTTTTGGAAATATCACAGTAATTCTGATCATAATCAACATTGTAATTGTATCTTACACTTCCAACATGCAGAATATTGAGTTTCTTCCATGGTTAATGGTGTTTGCATGTTGTTGTGTGTTAATTGGTTCAGTTGTTCTGACGTTAGATATGTTGTTGTATTTTCTTAAAGGATGTATAGAATACCTTTTGGGTTCGTTCTTGTTTTATCCAGCATTACTGTTGGGTACTTTGATGATGATGGGACATCTTTCTCCTCCGACAAAGTAGTGGATTCTGACGAACTACATTGTTGCTCCTACAGTGTCGTTAGTCACATGGCGTTCACGGCTCAGGTGATTGGCTCAATCTGGCTGCAGAACTCATGTGCAAAGATGGCAGATTTTAAGCCATGTCCGTCCAATTGGTCCTGCGCCAGATAAATGTGATAAATGTAAATAATACATTCGAAGGGATCGCTTATTGCGTTCTCGGATTTTCTGTTTTGAGTTTCGTGTACGCTTTAAAGTGTTTCATATCTAAAAAAATGCTTTTTTTGTTATGCATATATGTTTGGTTTCCACCAAAAATAACGATAAATGAAGGTGAATTGAAATGAAGTCTCTTTCTTGAATTTTGAATGTGTGAAAATGTCAGATGAGAATTTCGAAAATCAGTGTGCAAGACCTTAAAGGGACACTCCACCCATTTGCATTAAGATTTCCATCGTTAGAAACCCATTCCTACTATTGAATGGTCGTGCGACACTCTCTCTTTTTCCCTTGATATAAGAATAATCCGCTATTTATTTACCTTTTTCTCTTGCCTATTCATCGTCATTTTACGTCATTGTAGGAGGAAGTGTAAGAGGGGGGATTTCTGTAAAGACTACAAGCACTAGTTCCCACCCTTTCAAACCCGCCCATAGGGGGTTGGGCCTAATGCGCGAACAGACCAATCACAGATCAGGGCCAGTGCGTTTGATTTCACTGGCAGAAACTTTCTGAAAATATGGATGAAGCTGAATATGCAGACGGATGCATTATGGATAGGGTTGGGTACCGAAACGCGGTGCCAATAGGGAACCGATTCAACGTAAACGGTAACAACCAGACCGAATAAGAAAGAAAATTTCACGGAAAATCTCTCGCTCTCTCCCTCGTGCGCGCACTACACGGTGTGGAGCACAGTCTGATCCGTCTCGTATGGGCGCTCTTGCTCGCTCTAAATTCCGGGAGATTTTATCTAATTTGCGGGCATCAGGGAGCCGTTATCAATTTGCAGGAGACTCCCGGAGCGTCTGATAGCGAGGGGATTAATGAAGATGCCGAAGACGAAACCCTCCAAGGTTTGGCTGCATTTCACGTGTAAAATTACGCGTCAGAGTAAGTGTGCCGATTGTCTGAAGCCCGTATATAATCACGCCAATCCATTGGCTGATGGCGCGGGCGCTGCCTTGACGCTCTTACGTCGTCATATATTATATTAGCGCGCATTATCTGATTTCATTATGCGAAATGATTTCCAGGTGGTAGCGTAGTTGAGTGGAGCTCAACTCTAGTCTACATTGATGGGCGGAGCAGTGGGAGTGGCCTGCGGAGTTGAGCATTGCAATGCACTATGGGGATTGTTGTCTACAATCCACAAGCACTAAAAAGTCATTTTTTGCCTTTTATCGGCCAAGAAGGACCCAAATTAGAAATTTATGATACTATTCCTCTACATATATGACCCACATGTCTCCACCGGTGGAATTACCCTTTAACTTGTATTGAACCTAGAGCATTCCTTTAATATTTATTATTATAGAATTACCTCATTGGCAGTTTTTCTCATTACATTTAATTAGATTTATGCTTAGAATTCTTTTGTTTGCCAATGGAAAATAAAAAGAGAATTCAAAATTCAAGCAATTATTGATTTCAGGCCTCTATTTCTATTTTACTATATTTCATGAACATGCATTTTAGGCTTGTAATGTAAGGCTTCATATTGATTTTCCTCTCTGGTCAGTTGAAGTTTGTTGAAAAATAAAATGTATTTACACATAAATAGTAAGCGGTTTTCAACACTGAAAATAATCATAATTGTTTCTTGAGCATCAAATCATCATATTAGAGTGATTTCTGAAGGACTTCACATAGAAAACAGCTGTTTTACATTGTATTATTACAGTCACTATTTCTACTGTATTTTTAGCTTGTTGAGCAGAAGAGACTTCTTACCAACCCCAAACATTTGAACGGAAATATAGTTTATGCTAAAAGCATATTTTTCAAGAGGAACTTTATAGTGGAAGACAGTCTTGTGATGTGTTAATGAGGTCATATTAATTTTTCGTGTTACCATCATACATTTTTTGTGAAAGGTTTAACATCTTTCTCTCAAGAGTTAAATTAACCTTGTTGGAAACTGTTGCACAATCATCTGTTGTGAACTGTTTTCTCACTGAATGTGCTTGTGTGTTTTGACTGTGATTTACAGAAGAGTTATGGCTTTTATGAAACATCCGCTCCCGAGAGCCGCGTAAAACAGAAAACGCTTCTTCTCACAGTTTTCTGTGGCGACTCTGAGGTCGAGAAGTCGCTTTGAAAGAAAGCAAAAACTATCAAACCATAATGGACTGTCGAGGCGGTGGAAAAGTGATGTTCAGAGGTGAGCCATACGAAGAGTTTTCACCCCCGTGAACATCGAGA